TTCTTCAAAAAACCATTGTCGCTGTCGGAGGTGGGAAGGGGGGGGTTGCCGGTTGCCACCGAACAACTACTTGATTTAACTATTGAAAAGCAGTTAGCAGCTGCTCAGCAGTTGCATATTATTCCGATTGCGCCATCAAATCAGGGAGGGTCAAGCAGTAGGTGGGAGTAGGGGGGGGGACTGGCAAAGCTACTATCAATTACGATTCACCCCTCCACAGGGAGTCTCCCAATTTTGTGGGCAGCGCGCGTGAAACAGGAAAAATCAACTGTTGAAAAATTCTTAGATTTATACGACCTCACTCCTTCCAGCGACTCAATTCGACCCCCCGCTGAGGGTTCCTCCGTGATGTGCCCTGATGGGACCGCCCATATGTGTGTACCTCCACTGGCACTATTCTGTTGCTGCCTTTTTTCCTTGTACTCTCATCATTTTCCGCCTCATAGTGGAAGAGCCAGTCAGAATACTTTACATATTTATATTTGTTATTGTTAAAACATTCATATGTAGATTCCATAGACCGAACTGGGAAGTATACGTCTTTCTTTGCTATGTTTTGTTCTTGAAGACTGGTTACTGGTTGAGCTGTAATGGTTTAACAATGTCAGACTGACTCTATGACTGTCTTTGAAGGACTCTTAAATATGCCATCTCATGCGCCTATTTCAATCATGGTCGAAGTACAACTGAATCATCAGCGCTGGGGTACCTGGGTTCCACTACCCGTTCAGGAGGAATGACACCCTATAGATGTGCTAGAAGAAGACATTACTCACCACTTCAAGTAAAGGAACCAGCTACACCCGCGCCGAATATCAGTCCTTGCTATTACGTAGCTTTTAGAAAGGTTGACAACCCGATCGGCCATATAATTATGAGATGGGGCATGTTAGAGAGCTCCCAATGCATTCGGAACCTACGGCACTTCTTTCTTCTGTAAGGGTAGGTAGGGGTCAAAGAAACTATTTCTGGAAGATCCTGACTTAGGCCTAGGAGGAAGGCGCTCTGGGGCAAGAGAGCCATCTCTGTCCCGGAGCGCCTTCATAGTGGAATATAAGCCTCTCTCTCTCCTCCTCACTTCACACCCATCGACCAGGTTATTAGTCGTCATCACTGACCAAAATGTAACTTGGTTACGGTAGATATTCAAAATTCCCACCTACGGGCGAGCACATTAACGCGCTGGCACTACATTGCTGTGCATCCAAGCGTGCCTTCCCCCGACCTGGTGACCTCATACTTTCGAATGTGCTCTACTACATTGTGCCGTATCTTCCTCATTTCTCTTCGCTTCGACAATTTAATCTGTTTTCCTTCAAATTAAGATGGTTGCTTTGCAGGAATGTTGCGTCCGTCACCGACTCCAATATCACGTCTTTCACACTCTGACTACTGCTCTTTGTCGTCGTCTGATGACGATGCCGAGGTGTTCCCAAAGCGCTCGCCGTTGATAATTGACACCCAGCCAGGGATCTGTCCCCACTGCAAGAAGACGTATCAAGACGTAAGTGTTGTCATTTGTAAATCATGAAATAGTTATTGTGAACTTAAAAAAATTCCATATCGAAGGAAGTTTCCCAGTGGAAGAAAAAGAAAAATTAAAAAGGATCGGAGGCTAGAAGGTTGTTTTTTGTTGAAGCCCACATGTTCTCTTTTATGAAGGCCATCATTTCTTGATTTGTTTAACAAGGCCAAAGGTATTTGTGAGCTTTCGAACTGGTGGGGCTTTTTGCTCAAATACGTATAGGTTTAGTGCACCTTGGGCGCCTCGACCCTTTTATTATGTCTTGAAATGCTACCAGTCATGCCCAATCGCAGTTTCACGTACTGCATTCGTCACAGTTGCTAATTAGCTTACCACGTAATTATCACATGATTTCTCAGTTCAGTGAACTAATCGCTCGGAATGGTATAGGCATCTGGGCTACCTCTTATAATCCTTATAATCATAGCCGTGATAGCTATTGATCGTTTCTGAGATGGGTATTCATGGTCTATCGAAACATATTCTAGATACTAGGTTTTTTGCCTATGGGTTTTCAGCTAGTCCGAAGTAAGGAATTTTTAACAGTAAAGAACTTTAAATCGAAACAAGATCTCAGGGGAATACTAATAGCCGATATTCCCTTTTGTATTTTTTTTCTGTTTTCAAAGACTTGTCGGTTCTTGGAATGAGAAGACGAAAAGTGTTTGAATAGCTTCTGTAGAAGCAACTGTACACCTGTGATCTCGTTCTCCTGCTGTTGGGCGAGGAACATTTGCACTTTCCCGTGCAATGTGAAAGCTGCCCAGTTGGTTTTCACGATGAAATTCGTCCCACTTGTCCATGGCCTTCTAAAATGGGTTTGACGATGAGGTCGGCGCTCATTCGGATGTCCAGGTTGACGTCCCATGGAGTCCAAGGGACTAATAACTCTGATCTAGCTGTTCTTCTAGAAATCTCCATTGAAATTTGCTCCTTAGTTTTCTTGTCCTCTATTAGCATCATCTTTAGAGTGGATTGAATCTTCCTTTATGGTATTACGGTCACTCATAACAATATGGTCTTTGGCACCATATTGTTCAAACGAAGTAGAGGCGGTTTAGATCGTCTTACCTGGCGCGATCTAATGGTCAATATTGCGCCACTATAATCCCAGCTTTGTTAAACGCTTTCGTCAGATATAATTATTGCCTGTCATCTTGGTACGTCTCATAGATAGGAAGTTGGTCAAAGGCGGATGTGCGATTGCATGCAGTGGAAAAAAACGAAAGCTACTATGTAGAAACGGAATTAGTGTTAGAGAATGGCTGTCTCGTGCACGTTGTGCAAGAGTTGGTTTTGGAAACACGCTATCCGACGAACTAATGCAGAGCAATTACGTTACTGTCAAGTTGAATGGATTACGTTTAACTGTATGTGCTCTTATTAAAAACAAGATAGACACACAGTTGGGATTTAAGCCCCGCTCTACCAAGCAACAACTAAGCGTTAAGTGTAAAGAGGACGATTTTAAGTAGGCGGTCCAGCTGAGCAGGTGTCAGAACATGAACTTGCGGCGGCTGTAGCACCCTCGTCACTCGCTGTGGAGTTGCGAAATTGGGACAGTCCTTGAGTCTACGGACTGGACCACTCGAACAAAGAAGGACGTCTACTGATTGGTTGGGCGCGTAGTCTGCCTTGGGTGACTGGATTGAGTGGTATCTGCTCAGAAAAGACTTTTCAAACCTTTAGAATTCACAGGTTCTCTAGTTAGATGCGATTTGAAATGATCAGTAATATTTATCGGCTTGGCTAGAGTAGTGCTGTTGAGCTTTATGCTCTTTCCATATATGGAGAGTGGGTATACTGTTTCTATCTACATACAATTTCCGATAGCCTGGACTGAACTTCTGTAGAAGTTACGGTCATGGCATTGCCTCCCCTCCGTGTCGTAAACGTTAGTTACATCTCATACTATTTTTTTTGTGATAACTGCTGCCAGCCTCAGCTCGCGCTTACGCTTACCGTGCAAATGTGATAACGACCAAACCATTGAAGGCGCCCTCATCCATCGGCCTTTTGAAAATCTTCAAATGATTTTAACACAATATGAAGTTCACACCATTCGACGGATTTCAAGACAGGAATTAAGTCGGCCGAGCAAATCTAATTACCTGAAGCGATCGGTTTTTCCAGCGAACTTCAGGGCGATCTCTAATTCGAACCCACTAATGCTAATTCCACTTGATTTGGTAATGCCGATTTTTTGAAGAGTTTTCTCATCGAGTTCTATTGGTAGAAGTGCATTTTGTTTAACATACACCAGCGATGACGACCCATTAGGTTTTGGGCCATAATCCAATACTGTCCTTGTTGGTTTCTCTGACTCATGCCAATTAGCGCTGAATTGCGTAAACGACATTGGAGATTGGCATGGTAAGTGAGTGCGCAATCGGACAAGGTTGCGTCCCGGGACTACCGAAGAACTAGTAAGGAGTCTGAAGAGGTGTCGAGAATGCTTGTGGTAATTGGGGCACCAAACCTTATTGACTCCGCCGATGTATTATCAGTTTTCTTTTCGTAGAAACGTTCACAATTTAGGTTTTAGTAGCTGCACGTTTAAAATTCCATGACGAGTTGTCTAAGTGCTGCATCGTATTTTACCATTCTTTAACCAGAGCACGTTCCGCCGTTGGGGAAAAATTTTGTGGGATACTCAAACCTCACCGACCCGACCCCCCCCCCGCCCGCTTGAAACTTCCTCTGACAGGACACACCCTCCTCTCGCTTTTGTCCCATCCTACCTACCGTCTTCCTGACTTCTCCCGCTTACTCCCAACAAACTATATTAACGGAGACAGCTCGACCACCTTCTTTTACCATAGGATGTGTAAGAAGCATAGTCGTTATCTTGTTGGTTAAATTGATGGAGTAAAGTAAATCGATTTGATGTGCTGATGGTGACCCTGATTTGCATGTGCTTGTGTATTACTTGACCAGTTCTCGTCATAGAGGTATTGTCTCATTCTTTGAAGAGGCGTGTCAAGAGCCGGATTAAAATATTAATTGGCGACGCCTCTCAAACGATGGACAGCGTTAAATTTGTAACAAGCCAATGAGACTGATTGAAATTTCGTAAGGAAAAAGGGATGATCAACATCGCAATATTTGGTTTCAAACTTTTTTGGGGCGTAGTCAGTCGTTCAGTGGTTTTCGCTGAGCCGTGTCGGGGGTTCAGCAATTAGCGGGCAAGCGACAGCCATTGGTGGAAAGCAGACTCGGACTACGCCAGACCCTTCCTCCACCTGATAATACCTAACGTGTGCGCGAAAACGTTTCTACACCTACCCTTGCTCCGATCAACGAGTTTTTGACAATTTTTCTTCCTCTACCACCAGATGGATATGGAACCCAGTTATAAGACAGCTATTTCCAGCCGGTCACTCTCCAGTGCGGCCATTCGTTGTGCTCAAAATGTTGCTCTGCTTTGTTGGAGTCGTATGGCGCAAACACAGTACCACGACGTTCAAGGATTCGTATGGGATTAAGCAGTGTCAGCTATTCGCAACTAGAGAGGAAGAGCAGTTTCCAGTGAGTGTAGAAGATTTCACTTTTTTTTAAAATTACTTGATTAAGGGGGAACAACTGAGCCTTTCATTACGCAAATTTGAGACTACCATAATGCGAAAACGGTTTTTGCCCAAAAGAGTAGGTCGATCCAACGAAAACCTCTCTCTTTGGCAAAATCATACCTCCCCCCCCCCTCCGCCACCTTTTGATCTCACTATTGCTCTACAGCGAAGAAGACTGAATTCTAAACTTGTAACGTGACGTGTATTGTTTGAGAGCGCTATGGATGTACTGGAGTAGTAGTCTATGAAGAGAAGTTAGTGAGAAGCAGCAGCGAATATTTGTGCGTAAATTTGCAGCTTGAAATTTCAGATCTGTTACTTCCGTCCGGTCGACGGGTCTCACCTATAAATCACCTCAGTGCATTGTTTGTGGCGAGCGACCAAAGACGGTTAGTATATTCTCGACATGACTTTCTAGTGACAGTGCCTTATTAGTCGAGTTATTGATGTCATTATTTCAGACTCCCCCAGTCCCCAATCTGGAATTGGCGCTCTTCTTGCGCACCTTGAAAGCAGAAAAAATGACCGAACATGAAAATCCAGCCTACAGAGAGAACGTCGAGGATGACGGGTAAGTGAGCTTAATGCAGCATTTTCTGATAGTCTTCAAGGGACAGGGTAGGGGCATACCCGTTATGGGAGTCGTTTCCGCTCGTTTGGGCATTGGTTTGACCTTTTAATATCGACGATCTTTTTCGTTAGGGTATGTGACAAGACATTCGCAACTCGCCGCGCTGATGAGTGTTGCGTGCGGCGTCGCGTCCGCAAATGACGACTTTTCTAGGTAGTATGGTCGACAATAGGCAATGTATAATCGCATATAGCCATAAGTGACTACGATATCATAGTCTATATGACATCCGGTGCTCAAACAACAGGGCAATGCAAATTAAGGAAGGGTCGCGCCCATCGCCGCGCGCGACGAAGCGCCAAGTTACGGCTGCCTTGGCCATCTCCGCTTTCGTCACTTTATTTGTCCAAGTGATGAGGAGATAAGATCAAGACCGTGACATTTTTTGATTGCGGCTGTCCCTAATTGGCAGTTGCCGCCTGAATGTCACTTTTCATCTCTGATCACTTTTTAAATCTCAGATCTTTCAGGCCCCAGGAAATAAAAAAGCGAGACTATTTATCCCTTCAAAGATGTGAGACTCCCTGGGGCATTCTATAGTGCCCTTGTATTTGATTTTCTTATTTTATTGTATTTCAGTTTATCCGATGATGATTACAATTGCAAGCGCATCAGAGAGTGCAGAATAGGTGTGATGGGTTCATCAGGGGTGGGGAAAACTAGCTTGGTAAGTTGTCTATAAGGTTTGCCTTCTTACAAAATTCCCGAATAGCATTTTGCAAAGGGTAACTAAAAGGCAGCACTGTCAAGGCTACTCGAAACATTTTCAGACTCGGGTACAATATGGGAATGATATTCTGTTCAGTGATCTACTAGGAAAGCGTACGGAAGCCAGCCTCAGTAACACTTTTATGATAGATATTGTAGATTCTAATGTGAGTACCGATTTTCTATAAGTTTTCTGTATCATGCGAGATGAAGCGTGATCTCTTTTCAGAATAGTGAACATAGCATTCGAACTTCTCAAGGATTTGTCATAATGTATTCAATCACCGATCGTGAATCGTTTTACGAGGCTGCCGATATCTTCACTGCAATTGAAAAAGCCAGAGGAGGAAAGGTGGGTTTTGAATTCCAAGCAGATACTATTTTTGGGCAACTTTTGAAGTGGACTTTAGAAACTTCATGACCTTCTTACGATGGATTCGGTTTCTGGCGCAGTTCGGCTTGTTCGGGGGGGGGGGGAGGGGGGGGGGGGGTGGAGGAGCACCAGATGGCTTCGCAAAGTTGGTTCAGGCCACTCTGTGGAAACCTGTAAATACCTGTAACCAAGCGGCGAAATTAACTCAGTGGCTACCATTAGGCCAAAGCTTCAGCAAGGAGTTACCAAGGTAATATCAGAGTTGAAACGCCGTTAACGCATGCAGGCGAAAAAAAAGAAAATAGCAATAGTGTGCAAAAATGCCCCTCTAATCCTAAAAGCGGCCTTGGTTGCTTTCCTGCTCAAGTAGGTCCATGCAACGGCGTAACCATACCGCATACGATTTGAGTGACTGCTTTTCTTTTTTTTCTTTTTTTCGAAGCCTCATGGTTAAACTGGGTATAGACACTACTTCCCGGGAGGCGCGCATATCGTATCTGCTGGTCAATAAAAATCAATAAAAACAGACAGGACGTTCCGCTTAAGTTCCCCCCCCCCCGCCGCACCCCAACTACGCCCCGGTTTCAATGGCTGCCGAGGGTTTGACAATTTCTCACTGAACTTTGGCCTCTCGTTTGTCACTGTGGGGGAACTATTTTAATGCCTAATGTGTGTTTTCACAACCATCACTTGGTCCTTCTTTTAGGTTCCAATTGTGCTTGTCGGCTCCAAGTCAGATCTACATAGGAAGCGTCGAGTGACGGCGTTTGAAGGGCAAACTCTCGCCAGACACATGGGTTGCCCATTCATCGAGATCTCATCAAGGAACAATGATTGCGTCAACGAGGTAAGTCGAAGAGGCCGAAGATTTCGTTATTCAGCAATGCTATCGAGCCCTCTTGATGAGATATGGAAGTGTCCCGAAAGAACCGTTAAGATTTGTGGGCAGGCGGGATCGTCGTCCGCAACTTCCATGTCATGTTTGGAGTCATTGAAGGATGCTGATGTTTTTGAGTTATGAAGAATTTTCTGGTTACCTTCATAAAAAATAGTTGGAAGAAGTGAGTAGAGCTTTTGCTAGGAGGCGGGTCAGTCACAGTAAATGGTGGATGCATAGTAGGAGGATGTTGTCCACGCCGTGTTTTGATGTTGAATTACCCGGCGCTAAGCTTACAGGCACGTACCAGGCAATTTCGTGCCGAGCAATGACCCATACGTGTTCGAGGAGAGGGAGGGGGGTGTGGAGACGGGAGGCTTATTTCTAAGAGGAATTTTTAAGCATACTCAGTGTTCTAAAGGTGTTTTGGCGTCTGCAGCGTGGGAGCGACGCTCTTTCGAGCCATGTGGATATGATATTCGTGTTAATGGGTTAAACTAAGGGAGCGAATTCCGCCAACTTTCCCATGTGGAAGACTCCAAACAGAAGTTGGCTCGATTTCGAAGAATCACGTAGTAACTTGTAAAAGGGGTTTGTATGTCTGCACTTCATATCTCAATGGGGAGGGCGTGGTTGCATGTTTCATTGAAACGTGGCGGCGGTTTCGCTTTGATGGGGTTTTGCTCTTGTCGTACAATTGAAATCATGTCTTTGACTGATACAAGTAGGATGACAGTTGCCTCAGATCAAAACGTTCCGCGAGAAACGCCACCGACGCAATGTACTGATGACGTACACATTCACGCCTTCCTCGCCCCTAGGATATGGGGTGTACTAGGCGCCCAGTGGACGCATTGCTGTGGGAAAGAACATGCTCCAGTATGCAGTGACGATCACAGCATAGCAT